TTTTCTGTATCGATAGCAGTTAATCGCGTTTTCTTTTTTCCTTGGCTTTGTGTTGCACGCTGCCACCAAACAAATAAGTATGATGAACATATACTAAAGTGTTGAACCACTGTTCTTCATGGTGAACACACAGTCAACAATATCCTTTCAGATGTCGACAACCGAATACAGACATCTACCTAACAAAAGTAAGTAGTGGCCATGTAAAACCAGAGTTAGGGGGAGAGGCGAGGTTATGATGGCGGTTATACTGTAGTCTTGCACAAGATTGTTTATAGAATTGGCAATTTTTTCCTGTTTTCTCATTTCAACCCACTAGTACCCATGGCCTCTCTGAGCATTCTACTTCAGTTCTACAAATGCTGGATAAACACAAAATCTGGGTGGACTGCCCTAACTGAGTGACTCATGAACCTACAGAAGGGACAGCTAGATGGGTTAGTTGTCGCTGCCGTCTACTCTTTAAGAACCGACTTGGCGTTGCGCCGTCGTTCACTGTTTGCTCAATAGCGTTACACACCGTCGTCCGCCTGCTGCACATCGTGGTTTCACTTCTTTTAAGTTTATTAAAAACAAGTCAGACTAATTCTCTTTTTCGCGGCTTGTTCTTCCTTTTCTAACGTTTAATTTCCTGAAGTGATCCTCTTATTTTGGTCTCAATGCTCTGTCGCGCGCTTCTTTTGTCGTTACTGCGGTTTCTTTGCAGTTCTTGTAACCATCTTCTGTTAAATAAACCTCTTCACTAGGTCTGGGCTGGAGCATCCCTGGTTGCCGGTTCAGGTTTCAACCGGTGTAAATATCTTAGTGGAATTGTCTCCGTGGTTATTCCTGTGATAGAATGAAGGAAACGGTTTGCCTTCATTTTATACTATTTTAAGCGAGTTTTATTTGCTTTCGATTGTGGGACGCTATACTCAGTTGGGTGGTGTTGAGTATCCTGGGCAATGGAAAGTGATCCACTTTCGTCCTGGTTCGTAATACTTCAACCGTCGCAGACGACGAGGTAGGCGCAGCCGCGATCTGCGCGTGAATTTGGCTAAATCTAGACAGACTTTCTCTGCATCTGTCTCACTCACCCACCATATTTCACTGGGGCGACCGGAAATCGGCGTGCGCGCAGTGCCCGGCAAGATTCAACAACCTGTTCGCACCTGCGACGCATTATGCGGTTCCCGAATCCACAAGTGCCAGGTCTAGAATGTCACATGAGCCAGTGCTGCAAGTAACACCCACTGAGATCTGGCCCTTGTTCCAGAGTAAAACCGATTTGCTGCGTCAATTGAAAACCTTCCGAGTAATCAATTTTCGGCTTGCCATGGTAGGTTTAGTAGCATTCAGATAAATATTCGGGAAAATGCGCCGAAGTGCCACTACTGGGACGTTTCCAGGATCGGCCTCAACCTCTCACTGGGAAGGAACATTTACAGCCACTCCCACTTATCAGAAGGTTCGGGATACGGTTAGGGTTATGGGTATATTTAGGATCAGATCTGAGTTTGGGGTGACTGCAAGTGGCCTGTCAGAGCTTGGCCGCCCAACTGCGGTTAGGGTGAGTCCCCGCATTGGGAGTCGGACCCGGCGTATTCGGCACCGGAGAACAGTTCACGTACCGCTACGCCACAAAGGCATTTTTCGTGTGTCTCATGTTCGGATTGGATAAAATTCGCACATGCGTAAATCCGCAAAATATCCGCTAAAGTCTCATTTGCATTCTACTGCAAAATTTTACGACCAAACCCCTTGATCACTTCATCACCCCAGCCAACTAATCTAGTTCGTTGTTTGCGACCAAAGTTTTGCTTCATGGAAACGCAAACTGAGCGCGAAAAACTGGTAATTATAAAGGCAGGTTGTAGGTTAAGGGACCGAATTAGGGATCCTGGGGGATACGTTTTGTCCTCGCCTCCTATCTTCACATGGACTCCCCTCCCCCTCCCATCCTCACTAGGGGGCCTCGAAACCGAGCGAATTTCGGCTTTCCGAGGCCAGCTGCCGATGCAGGGGCTTGCTGTACAGTTTTGGTCAATTAAATGTAACAAGTGAAGAACCATTCGTGTACCCACGAGTCCCTGCTTAATTTAGATTTTTTCGATAATTTGCGATGTCGTGGAGTCACAGCCAAACCTAGAATGTTTGACATTGACATAGTCGGAACCACTGTAGGTTTGATGACCAGAAGCAAATCCGTGCATAACCGATGTTTGTGTTGGGTCCCACAGAGTGTCATGTCCTGACTGATTGTTATTCCGGACTCGAATGGCTGTCCAGTCGTCCTTTCACCTAGCCCTGAACCCTGTAACAGATAAGCGACATAGAAAGAGAAGCGACGGTAAGGTGAAGAACCCCAATTATCTGTCAGTGTACCGTGGACCATGTCATACGGGAATGCTGGTAATGGGATGGGGGTAGGGGTGGGGCAGTACACCAGACAGTAAACTGACGAAATGCAGGAAAACACAGAAGACGGTCGTTGACAAAACGATACTTTCGAGTAAAGTGCTGAATTTATGCAACTACCGCATCCAACAGGAGATTCCATGGCGTTCCACCTTGAAAGAGTGCTTAACCGTCCAGCGACCGACCCTATCCCCTGGCAGACATTCCTGTTATTTTTCAATTCATGCTCAGTTGATCTCTGGTTTTTGTTTCTCCGCTCTTGTGCATAACTGCCCGTTATGAGGACTTAACTAGATTTCAGCACACGATCCGCGGTCTACCAACAGCTAATTAGGGTCCTTCATCATACCATTGTCGAAAGATGGTGAGAGAGCGAGAAAGCGAGAGTCGGATGATCGTTGGTATATATCCCGAGATGCTAAGCGCCCGTTTACTATCAGACCCGAGGGACCGAGCCTATGACAAATAGATGCAGAAAGATCGTAGAATATGGTAGTTTGTCCGGAGCACAGTCAAACTAGTAAGACCAATTTCTGCCTCCGTCCGCAGCATGCACGTCCGGAAATGCAATGCGTGCTTGGTTTTTTAATAAGGATAAAACCCTCAACGTAACAGCCGTACCAGGTGTCAGCATGCTCTGTTCGGACAGCGTTCTCTTTGACGCGGACGCTATATCCAAAACAGTTACAGCAGGATTTCGGTATGGTATAAACTCGTCGTGCGTAAATCAAAGCTTGGTTATGCTAACTGGGCTTGCTAGCTGTGACTTGCCATGCGGTGGTCAAATTAGGAGTTTGCTCCGTCTATCTAGATCAAGATTTGCTCCGAGCAAATCAACTGACTTAACTGCGCGTTACCCGTGGTAGACAGGCCAAATGGTGTATTTATATCTTTCGTCATCCAACGAAATATGGAAAGCCAGCGTTTTCAGCGGCGCATAGTGTAAGTCGCGTCTGAGTATCTTACATAAGTTTATCATGGTTGGAGGACGAAAATAGGCGTTCCTCTTAGGACTTAAAGCTTTTGGCCCAGGGTTCACCCAGAGTGTATCATAGCACCGTGACCTGTCGGGCGGATCGTGGGCCTAGGCTAGATCGCAGATGGTAGCCAGGCCCCGCATTACAGGGGGCTGGGGGGCGGTTTACTGGGGCCATTTTGTCAGGTTCCATAATCACATGTGACCCATTTGGCTTCCGTTTTACGTTTGAGGTTAGGATTAGGGCACCGGTTAATGGTTTCCGATTTTCAGGTATAGGTTATGCCTTTAGGCTTAGGTTTTCGTGTTACAGTTAGGGTTTGAGCGTACGATTAGGTTTCAGTATTACGGTTGGGTTTTCCAGTTACGGCTATGTCTAAGGGCTACAGTTACGTTTACGATTTCGGTTAGGGTTGCCGTTAGGGTTAACGGTTAAAGTTAAAGTTTGAGGTTAGAGTTAGTGTTAGCGGTTAGGTTGGGATTAGGGTTAAGGTCGCCGTCCTCTTCCCCATTTCTGGCTACCAACTGCGATCTAGCCTGGACCTACTCAG